CCCCAGGTTCCTCTTCTCCAGTAAATTTTCCCGCTTCCTGCATCTACTTCAGACTTGCGGGGCCACCCCTCTGGCCGGGCCCAGTGCGTCCATTTCCCCTGGAATGGTGGCAACGCCTTCGCAGGACACGACCGCACACAACACCTGCCTGCTGCCCCTACCCTGACAGGCACTTGAAAGGGACAAGCTCAGGACCCGTTCTATGATTCACTCAAAACGGGTTCAGACAGCTCATTCTTTTCTCGACACACACACACTCACACTCACACACGCAAGCACACGCCCTTGCTGGATAAGTGACTGTTACGCACATTAGTTAGCCCCACACACAGTCACCAGCCCCCTCGAGGGCACACCCTGCCCCGCACCCTCCCACACCCAGGGGCGCGCACACTGACTTAGGCCTGCACAGACCCCTGCGCCCCACCTGCTCTCTGGGCCCAGCAGCCGCGGTCCGCACTCCATAGCAGCAGCATCCAGAGCAGGCAGCGGGCATCCCCTCGCAGGCTGGCCATGGCTTTCCTGGGCGAGGGCACAGGCGTTTCTCAGCCAGGAAGAGGCCTCTTTCGGTTCTACTGCAGCGTTTCCTGCGTGAAGAAAGACACTTTTAGAGGCGGCCCTGGAGCTGAGACGCCGCACATGCTACCTCTGGGCCCAGGTGGGAGGAATTCCCCCAGACCCGGGCCCTGGCATGTCTTCCCTCATCAGACCCGACCCTCTTGCGGCCAGCAGTGTGACCTCCCTTCGCCGCTTCCATCTGTCCCCTCCACCCCCCACCCATTGGCAAACCTGGGCCAGGACCACCAGGCCCGTCATCATTGACCACCTCAGGCTATACCTGTGGCCCCAGCACCATTGCTGTGATATTTTCTACATTTGGGCATTGAATAGGCTATTTTGTTAGTTCAGTATGTTACAAGAGGACATCTTTGTACCTGTCTTTGCCTATATTGAGTTCTTTTCTTAGGGCAGGTTTGTGGAAAATACTTAGGATGTCATTTGAGTTTTGAAAGGACCCCGATATGAGTTGTCATAGTACTTTAAAGAGAGTTGCCCTGGTTTCCGCTGCCTCCTGGCAGGCATGCGTATGGGCCCCCCTCGCCCGAACCTGGCATCGGGTATCATCATGCCTTCACACGTGGCCACCTCGATCCGAGAGACACTGGTTCTTGTTCTTACTTCCTATGCATTTCTTTCATCCATGAGGTTTATTAGCTAAGTGTATTTTCCCTGCTCTGTATTTTCAAGTCCTTTTCAAAAAGTACTTAGCATTATTAATGCAAGATCCAGGAAAAGGAAAACAGTTTATAGAGTTCACAGTTAATTTATTCACTTAATAGGTATTTACCAGTGGCCTCACGTGCCTGATGCTGAGGGCAGCCAGGTGAATGACACCAAATCCACCCTCGAGGGCACTCACTGACACCTGGAAGACAGGTAAGACTTGGGCCAGAGGAAGGTACTCCAGGTTAATCTCCCCTGAACCGGGAATTCTACCGGGAGTTCGACCAGGGGGCGAGGCCAGCCTGCCAACCACCTGCGGCCCCTCCCCCTGGTT